ATAAGGGACATGCATTTAATTTTTGAGGATTTTAATGCAATCATCAGATGCCATTTAAGGCATAATTGAAAGATTTACTATTTTTCAGAATACTTAGCAACCCTCCCTCAATGCATCCATTTAGGCCAAGTCAGAAATTACTGTTACAGTTATAACGAGGTTGCCTTTACATGTTTCTAAGGGTATGGACAGAAGTAATGTCTGAAATAGTTCTATGTGAAACACCTGGAAATGTTTCATAAAGGTAGTATTTCAGCCACGGTACACAAGTGGCTCTTTGCTGTTGCTGGCTGGAGTGTTTCAGGACACTGTAGCTCCTCTAGCACCAACGGGCAGCAGTGACCTACGGTGTGGCCTTTATCTCCCCCCACCCTTCTCCAGGCAAGAGGTAGAGTGAGAGGCAAGAGCCTTGCAGAGAGGGGGTGCAATGCTAGCGAGGGGCAGGTCCAGTGCTCTCTACTTCTCCTCTCCCCCTCTCAGCCTGTCACAGGTAGAGGGAAATGGAACTGAAGAGCTGGGCTCCCTCTTCCCCCATGTCAGCAGGGGTCTGGTGAGGGAAATAGGAGGGGAGTGAAATAGACTGGCAGGGGCGGAGGTCCCAGCAAGGAGCTGGTTGGGAGGGCAGGCTGTAGGGATCCTGCAGGTAGCTAGCAGCAGCCAGCAGCCCACCACCTGCTCTACCTCTCTCTTCAGAGAGAAGTGAAATCCTCCACAACAAGACTTCATTTCAAGAGGTTCTATTTTGTGGTATTTCAGGTGCTTTTAGGATGGTTTCAAAGGGTTTGTATGCACATACAGCTGGCCCTTCAAAAAGGTTTCAAAAGTTGTTTAAAACATGTTAATTATGTGTGTCCATACCCTAAATTGCTCCTAGAAGCCCTTTGGCCATATTTAAGGGATGAACTTGAAAGTTAATTCAGATGAGGGGATTAACAGAGGACCTACATCAGGTTAATTAAACTGCAGCTGCAGCTAAAGGTAGATCAATTTTAAAACTCTTTTAAAAAAAAAGCTAATGTTCACAAAATTGTGAGAACGATTATAAACATACAACTACTATATCCTTAGAGTATCAATCAAGTAGGAATTAACAGTTTGAAGTTTCTAAAAAACAGAAGCTTTTTTGTTTTTTCTGTATAATAAATAACTTTAATGGAACATCTCAAAATTGAAGGTGGAGCGGAGATTTAGCAGTTTAAAGGCACAAAGAACAGTGTGCAAGTTAAAGATTAACAATTTGAAAGCATTTTTACCTTAGTTTTTTTCTTTTTTTACAAGCTATAGCCAAGTTATGCTTACTCTGTGTTTTACAATAAAACTAAAAGGGTTTTTACTGTGTACAAGAGGAAGATCAATTTAAAAGACACCCCAAATCAGAAGACAAATTAAGGGCAACATGGAAGGACATTTACTCCAGTTTAAATATACAAACGGTAAAAGAAACCAGCTTGGAACAGTAATGTAGAGCTAGTAGTGACTGAACTCAGTGATCTATTAAGATTACAGTGTCAAACACTATGCTATGCCCTCTAGGTATAGAGAAGTAATTTCCTTGACAAAATTTTGTTTCAGAAAGACTGTATTTGATTTTTTTTCTTTTCGTAACACTAGTAGATGTCTCAATTATACAGTGTTTGCATGTACTTGCTCAGCACCCAAGAGCAAGAGATTCTTTATATATCCTTTAAACCCTTGTACTTTTTAAAACACCACCTGTAGAGAATTTTCTACAGTTAGGCTTACTGTTTCTTAAATAAAGGCTCCAGAAATAAAGCATGTTGCTCTCAGCAAGTCATTAGTGACCCCAAACACAAAAATTAAAAATGGTGGAGAGCATCATCTTATGGAACCACATGCTGTATGGCTAAAGAACTGACCTTCCAATCCCTCACCGTGTGACTTGATATGAAAACCAGAGGCAAACCCAGTAAGAATAAGCAAGCAAACTGAATGTTTCTAGTTGCAAACAGGCCGATTCAAATTGAGGCATTATGGAAAACTGATCTGGATGTTTGATTTATGTCTGCTTCCCATGTCAGAAGTTTGTTTTTACATATTCATTTCCATTCTCACTGTCAACTAGTAGGAAGTAAGCTAATTATAAATTCTTCATAAAGAATACCAGAATCATCTGCCTTTCAGACAGACACGCTCAGTGAATTCCCTTAATCTTCTCTTCAGAAAGATTTTAGCACACAGATCTAAAGCCCTATGATAAATATGAAGCAAACTGAAGCTACTACACAGCTGAGCATTGCAAACGCCACCAGTTGTGGATATTAATACACATTAAAAATTAACAGAAGTAATTATATCCAACTATCACAGGTATAAAAAAATTAAAGTAGTAATTTTAACTACTCCTCTCAGCATGCATGTTAATGAATCTAATTTCCATACTATTAGAGAGCCAACTGCTTTGCCACATTTGACCAGCTGTCAATACCTACTACAGAGTGATTTCATCACACATTCAGTGCAGTGTGTAAATACCTTTACTATCAGGATGAAATGAAGGTGTGCTGGTCCAAAAGGCCATTGGATTAGATTTAAAAAGACTAAAATTAAATCCTAGAAAATAAAGTGTGGATGTAAGTGTTCACCTGGTATTTTGAGGGGGCATAAACAAACTTACCTATGTTTTTGAAGATTTTCACTTTATATCTACAGATCACGGAATTAGTTATTGAAGAGTTTATACTGTGTGGTGTATGGATTTATCCAACCCACTTAAATATCATATTTACTTGAAATACAAATAATGCCCATTTTAGCCACAGACTCTGCAATGTTAGGTAACACTTTTTACTAAGAGGATCTATTTCTACTTCGATAAATCATTTTTCACTTACTGCTTTATGCCATCAGAGTCCAATATCACATGCTTCATTTTAGAACAGAGGTGATCAACTTGTAGCATGTGCGCCACAAACAGCAAGGGAGTTTGTGTGCGACTGGCAGTAGAGTGGGGAATGGACTGGCAACACAGCAACAGATTGGTTTCTGCTCCCTGCTTGGAGCAGCTAATTAGGCAGAAGGGGATTGAAGTGTCACTCTGGGAAGGCAATGGGCTAATCTGTGGCACGTCTGCTAAAAACAGGTCAACTTCCACCAGGTTCAAACTATTCAACGTGGTGAAATCTTAGTTATACGACTACTGGTAACAAGTCTAGGCTGAGGTCTCAAAGTCTGTGAAACCAAAGTTGCTATTAGCTTACATGAAACCATAGCACATTCAGTATCAGTCTACAAAGAAAGATCTCATGCTGTAATCTCCAATTTCAAGACATCTGAAGTAGTTAACTGAAGACCACACTTTGGTCACTTGTGATTAAAAGCTGAGTTTTATCTACCACAAAATTGTTTTAGTAACAAGCATTTTCCTGGCTTAGTAAGATGTAAACCACCTGAGTGCTACAAGATTTACAAGAGCGTAAATAATTTGATAAACCTGGTTTTCACCCTCACTAAGCAGTGCCAACTGTAACAGTTACCTGTTAGTTGTTAACTAAGGCACTGTACCTCTCCATGAAGAATAAAACCAAGTTTTCTGAACTCTACTGTCCAAAGAAAAAGTAGCGGTGTAAGGACATGTATGTCTTGTGTAAGAGGCAAGACTCAAGGATCTTAGAACACATCTTTCTCCCCCCACCCCTTGTTTGTACAGGTTAAAGCAATTAAGCCCGAAACAGCTGTCTTTGGTGTGCCTTAGGAGTTACCAAGTCTTATTCAAATGTTTAGGTGTGGGCACATACAGTAAACTGTAAATTGACCACTCCAAAGAAAATGCAAATCAGAAGTTCATAATCTGTGGCAAAGGAAGGGGGAAGGGAGGGAGGAAGGAATGTATAGGAGGGAGACAGCGCACCTGAACAATGCCACACTGATAACATAACCAGCATTTACTGCACTGGCTGACAAGCATGACAGTTTTGTGACCCCTTCCATGCATTTTCAACAAACACAAGTGGAAGGAAAAAAAAAAGCACAGAACCATAAAGTTGAGAGAGCTGTAAATGGCTATTGAACAGAATCGCTGGAGAGGTTTCTTTTGGCATCTTTATACCACTAAGTGGTAGATGCCAGGGAGGATATTAAATACGGGATAGATTACTTAAGAACTATCTAGTTTAATGATTTACTGGGATAGCATCTCTCTCTGCCACTGTCAGAGACAGGATACAAGCTAGATGGAACTTATGTTCTTAATACTTCAAGCTAAAGATGTATTTGCAATAAAAGTTAGAAACCTAATGCAAACTAAAAAAAGGAAGCCTAAACTTAATATTAGAACCTACTGTATTTGCTTGATTAGATGAGGTTCCCCCCCATTAACATGGGGGAGGAACCTGTGCTTTACAATCAAGCACAAGGCAGCAGGGGGGGCAGGCAGTTGCCACCTGCCCCCCACCGCCTCTGAACATCTCAATACTCCTGCCCTGCAGGCCCAAGTCTGTGACCCCCACTCAACACTTCCTATCACCTCTGCTATACTCCTTACTTTGGTTCTGCACTGGCAGGCTCCATCGCTGCTACAGCCTGGTGCACAAAAGATTACTCCAACCGAGCCCCGTAGCAGCAGTGCGTGGGGAGCCAGCACCTCTGCTACAGGGCTGGGCTGGAAGAGCAGTGCTGGCTTTGCACCGCTGCTATGGGGTTGGGCTGGAACCATGCTCTTTGCCCCAGACTGCAGCAGGGGTGGAGGGCTAACACAAAACAGAAATACAGGAGAGAGAGATGGGAGGAAGTGGGTGTGGGGATTTGAGGTTGCAGATAGCAAAAAGCAGTGTGGAGACAAGAGGAGGAGTACTCTTCATCTTGTACTTGGGTAAATACGGTACTATATGGCAACTGTATTGGAATATAACCAAAAATTTAAGCCAAAAATTTTGGGGATTTTTCAGAAGTCTGAAAAGTGACTTTACTAAATAAATCTACTAACAGTGGAAGATAGGAAGTTTTGTTTAATGTAAATAGCTCCCAGTTCAGATAATGCTTACCTTTTTCTAGTGTTTTAAACGTGCAATTTGAAGACTCTTCTGTTGAAGAAACCGAATTGTTTTCCATCTTGCTGTCTGAAGCCTTCTGATTACCTGCATGGCTTTTCTGAGGTTCAGTTACTTTGAGTTCTCTCTGCATTGCATTTTGTGACACTGAACTAACATCTTCAGTTATATTTTTTGAAGGAGGGGTAAAGCTGAAGCCAAACAGAGATCCAGTAGCTGAAGTATTTCCAAATGTGAACGGCTTTGATTTTTCACTACTAAAAATACTCTTGACAGATTCTGAACCAAATACAAATTTAGGAGGAGAAACCACTGCTTTTGTTGGTGTTTCGGAAGTGCTTGACACCTCTGATGCCTCTACAGTCACATCAGAGGTATCCTCATCATGGATCTGATCAGTTCTCTCCCTGGTGGTTTCCTCCAGTACAGCTACAGCAATTTTACCACATGGAGATTCCTTTGGAGTACTGGCACGCGAAGAGAGGGGTGTAATCAAGGTGTCTTTTTCTTGGGCATGTTTTGCTTCATCAAAAATCTGCTTAAATGAGTCTGCAACATCTTGAAGCTTAAACCGCACAGCTAAGAGCTCCACCTTTCTTTCCCCATCTGCAAAGTCACAGGCAGTCCATACCCATGCTCTATCTGTTCCTTTCATCTGCTGTATGTTCATGTCTGGTGTTATTCTATGATTGGCACAGAGTTTTAATACCTGATCCCTTCTCATTACTATACGAACTTGTTTGTTGTCATAGTTCTGTAGAATCTTTATATCCCCAATACCCCTCTCTTTCCATTGATTAGCATCCTTGTCATATCTATAGAGTTTAGCTCTATGACTGAAAACAACTTGCTCATTTTCTTCACCACTTGTCACTTCTACAAGGTCAGGTAAAGGTACCACAGGTTCAAAGTACTGTCCATCTCTTTCTTCTTCTTGAGTGATATCAGACTCTTCATCAGCACCTACAGATGATCTGCTCTGGTTCTGCTTGGCAGGAGACTTTGAGGGGCTTAAGGCAGATTTAAAGCTAAAGTTAAATCCAGTTGTAGATTCCCCAAATCTGAACAGATTTTTTCTTACAGGACTACTTGCCAGAGGCAATGCATACACAGAGCTACCAACACTATCATCCAATGCTTCTTCACGCAAGTCATAGTTATCCCATTCCAACGTCGGTGCAGTGCTTTCTGCATGTGGCTTTATAACCAAATCAGAAGTACTGGTGGCTAAAGGTGAGCTTCTCTTCTCTTCCTCTGTAAGTTTAGTTTTATCATCTGTCAAAAATGTTTTGAGATCTTTCAATCCAGTTTTCATTTCTTCTGCTTTCTGTATAAGTTGAGCTGTCCTACCAGTGTCAACAAGTTTATGTGGGGTCTGCAGTGGTATATCCAACAACAGCCTCTGACACTCCTCAAATTTCTGTTTGAATTCCTCAGCCTGCTCTGGTGTTTTGAATTTAGCTGCTAGATGCTCCAGCCTTGCATCACCATCAGAAAAGTCACTGGCTAGCCACATCCATGCTTTATCTGAGCCAGACAGAGGTTTCAAGTTCATGGTAGTAGTTATCCAATGGTTTGCACATACTTTTAGTACCTGTTCACGTCGCATTAGAATTCTTAGCTTGCCGTTATCTTCATTTTTAAGAATTTTTAAGTTGCCCACGCCTCGTTCTTTCCACTGACCTATTTCTGCATCAAACCTAAAGAGTTTTATCCTTTGTGAATAGAGTACTCTCTCATCCTCTTCCCCTGTTACTAGTTCTACTTTTTCAGGCATTTGGACAACTGGGTCAAAGTGAATATCGTCACAGTCCTCAGTCTTATACGAATCATCATCCTTCTCTAAATCAGCAGTATTAGCTTTGTGATCCATTTTAGAACTCTGTGAGGAAAACAGTTTTTCACCTGCACCTGAAAAGCCCTTGAAGTTTGGATCTTTTTTCCCAAACTGGAATCCTTCTCCAGGAGTAGTTTTTGCAAGATCAGCAAAAGTGAAAGTGCTGCTATTCTGCCCAAAAACTAAATCACCAGTTGGCTTACCAGAGGCTCCTTGAGACTGGATACCAGCCCCAGCTTCTGAAAAAGGAGCCTCTCTTTCCTCTTTTTTGTCAAGACTTTTTAAGAAGCCTGTTGTACTTTCTTTGGGTGGCTCATCTTTCTTTGTAATATTTTTACCAGGCTCTTGTATGCCAAATTTAAATCCACCTGCAGGCACAGGCATAGAAAAGTTAAATCCTTCATTTGTAGGGTTAGCTTCACTACCAGAAGGAATCTGAAATGTGAAGGAAGGTGCCTTACCTTCTGCATGACCAAATTTAAAGCCTTTTTCTGAAAAGTCACTCTTAAAACCTGTTCCCAATTGTCCTCCAGCAGATTCAGACAATTTGCTCTTGAAGCCAAATGCAGGAGTTGAGGCGGCATCCCCAGGTTTACTAGATGGATTTTGTGCTTGACAAGCTACGCAGGTTGCAGAAGAGGCGTCGTTTCGTACTAAACAAACAGGACAATCCCACTGTCCTTCCGTTTTAGCAAAGAGCCCTTCAAATCCATTTTTAGGGGGTTTACTTTCAGAAGATGTCTGAACAGTAGACTCAGGGGCCTTCAGCGGACCTTGAGAATGAGGAGAGTTGCACGCCACACAATTTACTGTTGTTGCTTCATTTCTTACTAAACACACCTTGCAATACCACTGACCCTCCTTTTCGGAGCAAGCAGAAGAAAGCTCATTTTGTGAACTCTTTGCAACATCTGCTTGGCCAAATTTAAAGGCAGTGGGCTGATCAGACTTTGGTATGTTAGCCTGATTTGGATTGTGCGCTTGACAGGCTATACAGGTTGCAGAAGAGGCTTCATTTCGTACTAAACAAACAGAACAATCCCACTGTCCTTCCATTTTAGCACCGAGCCCTCCAAATCCATTTTTAGGGGGTTTACTTTCAGAAGATGTCTGAACAGTAGACGCAGGGGCCTTCAGCGGACCTTGAGAATGAGGAGAGTTGCACGCCACACAATTTACTGTTGTTGCTTCATTTCTCACTAAGCACACAACACAATACCACTGACCCTCCTTTTTGGAGCAAGCAGAAGCAAGATCATTTTCTGAACTCTTTTCAACATCTACCTGGCCAAATTTAAAGGAAGCTGGCTGACCAGACACTTGCACGTTAGCCTGATTTGGGTTCTCGCAGGCCACACAATCTACCACTGTTGCGTCATTCTTCGCTGAACACACACTGCAATCCCACTGACCTTCCTTTCTAGCAATAACTGATCCAAACGTATCCTGTATGGTCTCAGTGTTAGATATAAAACCTGAAGTGGTTTCAGCTACTGGTGCAACATATGTTTCCTTATTATTCAGATTTGGAACATTGCATGCTATACAGTTCTTAGCTGTTACATCATTCCAAGTGAAACACAATCTACACTTCCACTGATCTTTTCTTGGCGTAAACTGTTCGCCCAATCCACTAGCAGTATATGTAGATGGCATTTTCTTTCCGAAGGAAAAGGATGGTGTGGATGCATCCAACATAGATATAAAACTGCTCTTGCCATCAGGTCCTTTTACAGAACTACCTGTATTTGGAACTGAAGCCTGGCATGTACACAGGGATGAAGCTGTACTATTTTTCCTCTGGCAGAGATTACACTCCCACATTTCCTCTTTCTTAAATTGAAATCCAAAATTCAGGGGCCCAGGAGTAGATTTGCAAGGCTCCTTGATATCTTGATTGACGGTGTCTCTGGAACTTTCAATGTGCTGAGTGGTTGTTCCAGATGTTCTCAAAATATTTTGTGCCTCTTCAAATTTACATTTGAAAAGCATTGCCTCTTCTGGTGTTTTGAATCTAATGGCAAGCTGTTCAGGTTTTGGCAATTCGTCTGCATAATCTACAGCATACCACACAAATGTTTTGTCTGAACCAGCATTTGGTTTCAGTTTCATGTCAGTATTTATATAATGATTTGCACAGATTTTCAACACTTGTTCCCGTCTCATAAGTAGACGAAATTTGCCAGATATTTTGTGTCTCAGTATTTTCACGTTTCCAATGCCCCTTTCTTTCCATTCTTTAGATTCTGCAAAACGGAACAGCTTAGCTCTATTGCAAAAGAATTCTTCCTCATCTTCTTCCCCTGTCTTTACTTCTATCTTATCAGGGAGTGGCACAACAGGCTCAAAGTGAGGACCATCATCTTCATCTTCACCTCCATGGACGCTTCCGCCATCAGTTTCGTGACTTTTGTTGGCTAGATCTAAATTTGGGGTCCCAAACCCTGATTTTCCCACTTCGTGGAAGCCAACTGTGTCACCTTTCCCAAAGAAAGAATTTTTAGGTTGGTTCTGTCCCATGTTTTCTGTAAATGGGATGCCTGAAATACTTTTATTACCAAAACTGAAGACATTTCTTTGGCTAGGTGTATGATCTGGAACTGTTTTTTGTCCTGTATACCGCTCATCTTGCAAAGGCTTATCTGAAGTCAGAAGACCCAACAGGCTTTCACTACTATTAAAAGTTGCATTGGAAGACTGTGTTAGAACTTGAGGTGAAGAAAATGTGAAGTCTCCATCATTTGATTTGAAGTTAGAGTTGAACTTAAAAGTTGTTGACTGAGCTGACTGTGCTGGAGTTATCAGAGAGGACTTTGTTACTTCTGTTGGTACAGGTTGCCCGAAGGTAGATTTCCCAAATTCTACCACTTTTGGTTCTGCAGGCTTTGCAGCTGGAGGAGCAATTGAAGGCTTTGTGAAATAGCCTGGTTCAGGTAATGGTGGATTTGAGCTTGCTTGTGGAACACTGTAATTATAATACTCATCCCCACCACGTGGAGACAGAAGCCCAGTAGCAGGAGAATCAAAACGCAATGGACCGCCATATATTTCTTGGGAAAACATACATGCAGAAGTGTTCTGCAGTGGTGGTGTGTGCATCGGCTGCTGATAGGCATATATATGTTGCTGAGGTGTAAGCCTGTTCATACCATAGACAGGAGCCTAAAAAAAAGAGAGAAAAAAAATTATTATTTTTACTTGGTATTAAAGTAACTTCAACAGGCCAAGCCCCCCTTGCACAAGCACAAAACAAAATCACAAGCACTATGTAAGTAACATAGTCTCTGCCCTGAAGAGATTATGTTGATTTTTAGTTTCCATTCTTCAATACACATAGACTTTGATGTTGAACAACATCAAGAAAATCTATATAGCTGTTCTATGTACCATACTGCATGCTGCTTCTCTTTCTCTACTGCACCCTCAAAGTTTTCTCCATCATAGAGAAGAAACTATTTTCAGAAAGTTTCCCAATAGAAGGCTTTAAGTAGGCATGTGAACTTTTCAAGAGACACGTACAAGCTCTTGTTCTTTAGGCCGCACGTGCATGGCAGGACCCTGATCCTAAAAAAAATCATGCAATTAGATCCCAACTGTACCTTACTTTGCTTCGCACCAGCAAGTTGAAAATCAAGTGCCCACAATTAGCCAATTGTCAGCTGAGGCCAGGGACCAAACCAGGGTCCTGTTGCACTGGGGCCAGGGACCAAACCAGGGTCCTGGAACTGGTCATGTTGCACTGGGACCTGTAAAAATTACATGTATAGCTGTTTTCCAATATCCCTGGTACACAGGGACCTCAGGATCAGGGAGAGGTTCCTTGATTCTGGGGTCTTCAGGCACCAGGATGTCAGAAAAATCTCATGGGGCAGCAAGGCTGCACATGCAGTTTTTAAAGGTCCAGGGTGCAGCAACTCCAAAAATCAGGGAGACAGAGCATGGTGAGCCCAACAGAGACTATCTGCCTCTGGAGTGTTGGGGTTCCAAGAACTGTTTCTGCCCTGACCCCGACTGTGTAGGAGACAGCTGTGTCCCAGATTCGGGCTGCCCCATGCTGGATTCTGATGTTCAGCTTAGAGTTGAGATCTGTTATAAGCCAGCCCCAAATCAGCCACATATTCAGTTTAAGGAGTGACACATCATATGTTGTTAAATGTTGTATGTGGAATAACTGAATCACTCATTTACTTTATTATCACACCCTAAATTGCCTTGAACATGTGGCTGGATTCCTATTTAAAAGTGCAATTAAGCAGGTTAATTGAAATGTTTAACTGGTCTTAGACAACTCCCTTCCTCTACCATGAGAGTTCAACCAAGAGGACTCACTGAAGTGAGTCCAAATATTCCAAGCCTAGAAAATAAACATAGAAGTGTAAATATCAGTTACACCCAACAGTCTTCATCTGTAAAATCCATGTTACATACAGCAGGTGAGAAGCATTATGAGACTATAGTTCACTACACAGTTCAGGAGTAAATTAAGAGATTCATCATCACCTTTGTTGGTGTTACATTGGTAGCAGCTGTTCTGAGAAGGTACTGAGAGTTATATGCAGGTGACTGGCTGTAATAGACTGATGGGCCAGTAGTGGCAACTAAAAGAGAACATAAAATGGTTTAATCCTAGTTTGCTTCTATCCAAAACGTACCATCTTTGAAAAATAAGACATTTTTAGAATTCATTCACCCTATTTAATTAAGTCTTTATAACAATTTTAGAAGCTTACCTGTTAATGGTGCTCCATGAAAGTTTTGTGCTCCTTGATAGCCATCTGACATTGTATCTGCTCCATAGCTTTCAGAAGGCCACCGATGAGATGACAAGTTTGAGCTGGAATTTAGTTTCATTTCATGCATCTCATTCTATCAGGAAAGAAGTATTTATGCAGCTTTAATTAAAACAAGATGTTTCCCCTCCAAGGCAATGTTTTCCTGAACAAAGCCTGGTGTGTACAAGTGCACATACGTACGCATGCACACACTAAGGCACGCAGTTTTACCTTTATTTAACATGCCATCCAACCTCAGTTTTGAGGCTGGCAAAGCTTCTGGTTTATTATTATACATAGCAATTTATACAGAAAGGTCTCATGAGGTATAAGCAGTCTACTACCAAGCCAATAGTCAAAACCATGAGTGTAAGTCATACAACTGGTCAAGTACCAGCAAGAAAACTGGAGGATATCCCAAAGCACTGTAGTTAAAAAAAAGACAAAAAACCCAAACCCAAACCCTTTCACCTAAAGGTTAGCGTGTGTTCTCTTCTAGGTTGGCGGATCTCCTTTGGTGGG